TTTGAAAAATGTTTTGTGAATCGTTTGAGTTGAAGATACCACTCCTCCGATGGAATTTGCTTTAGCCAGGGTTTTTCATTAGTGTTGAAAAAAATAATAGAAGGTGCATAAACACGGGCCACTTTGTAAATCATATCGATAAGTCTTTGTTCATTTTTTTTGCCAATGTATTTGCCAATCAGGACAGGTGCCGACACATCAAGGAGTAACGCGCCGACCTGAGAAAAAGCTCAAAAACTCAAAAAACTGAATTATAAATCCATTTCCTTTAAACCTCTTATCTCTTAAGAAATAAAAATGCTTTCTTATAAAAAATAATTGTCTATTAAGAAACGATTAAAGATTTATAAGACATTTGTCTATGAAGATAATTGTTTATGAAGAAACGATTAAAGATTTATAAGACAATGCATTCCAGATTTTTGAAACGTTGTACTTAGATCTGCAATCAAAATTTTGCGAATTGTGCGAACTCAACAGAAACTCAACAGAAATAATTAAAATTTTTAATTAAAAATTTGAACAATATAATTTTATACAAAATTTTATTAAATATATATCATAAAAACTTTTTGTTAGAGAATTGAAAATAAAGATAAACAGTTACCTCCGAGCAAATGGCATTGGTGAGAGAAGTCTTTCCGGCTCCTGGCAATCCATAGATGCACACGGAACGCACGAGTGGCGCGACCTGATGCGTCTCCTTGGAGATTAAAGGTAACACGCAGTACTCCAAGACAAGCTGCTTGACTTCGCCCAACCGGTGAATGTAATTTCGGGATTCACGACGCGCTTCGTAATTCTGATAGGAAAGATCGCTGTGCCATTCGCGTAGAAAAACAGTGCGATAGTTCCTAATAACTTTAGCTTGCAATAACTCGTTAAAGAACTCATTGATAGTCACATCTTCCAGAACATCGTTCTTCTTTTGTTTCTCCGTTTTGATCTTGCCGTTATTCTTCTTTACATCTACTATAATATAATTTAATGCTTTATATTATGAATCTAACAAACAAAGAAACGAATTTGTATCCATTTTAAATTATTATAATTACATTATGTATTATAAAATAACTTTTACCCAGATAGCCAAGTCTGTCGAAAACAGATTTTGTAAAATGCCTGCTACAAGAAGGCATTTTACAAAATCTGGGTAAAAGTTATTTTATAATACATAATGTAATTATAATAATCTATTAATAGATATAATATATCTGATGATTTCGGCAGAATGCGATAGAAATAAAACAAAATCTGCTGACATATACTAAAAGCAGATTGACAACAAAAACTAGGCAGACTCTATTTCATAATCTGATGGTAGATTGACGACAGAAATCGAGCAGGATCTGCCATTTCGAAGAAGCAACGCGATTGTAGTGCGGATAAAATAATAATTTCTTAATATAATAGTTTGTTAAATAATTTCTTAATGTAATAGTTTGTTAAAGTATAAATAGTCTAATGGTAAGAACATTCGCCTGGCAAGCAGGAAGATTCGATTTCGATTCCCGGTTTAGTCACACGCGCCTTAATATCTTTTCTCGTTTATCATTCCTTTATTTCTTATTAATAGATTATCAACTTTGAGAAATTATTATACATTGGTCCTATGTAAACAATCATTCATAATAAATAAATTAAGAAATTTATTTCCTCCACATTGTAATTGTGGTCGGTTCTTCACATGTCTAATTTCCAATATATAATTTTTTTTAAATATTGAGAACTCCTCTACTAAAAAATCTTTTTGTAACAAAACAAAATTTTCATGTGACTAAAATAATTCCAATTTTATCTGCTATAAAAATAGCGGAAAAGCTATAAAAAATATCGAACGGAAAAGTAGAATAAGTCAGTGCATCATTTGAATAAAAGGCCATTTAAATGCATTTAAATACCAATGCTATGAAACGGCAGATGCTGTTTGGTTTTTGTTACCAATCTGCCGTCAACTACGCTGCACAAATCCTGCTCGGTTTCTGCTGCCAATTTGTTATGATAAGCAGAATCTATCGGCAGAATACGAGCTTAATGTGGATATAGATGGCACCGAATCTGTTGCCAAGTTCTGATTGTGAGTGAATTTATTCAATATTTAGTCAATCTGCCGGCAGGCTGTAAACATTTTGTTTACTGGGTTATCTGTATTACTGGTAGTTATCTGTACAGAGCAATCTTAAAATAAGGTTATTAAACATTAAAAATGTTTTCACACATTGTACACAGTCACAGGAATGCCTTAACACATGAACTTGCATGAGTGTAAATTTCACAAGCCAATTCAAAAGTGCCTTGACACTCGTTGACAAATTCATGTGTTAAGGCATTCCTGTGATCGTGTGTACATTAAGAAGAAAAGTTGTTTTGCTTGGAACATCTGTACAGAATACATACTCATAACTTAAAAGTAGCCTGAATTAGTCTTAAGAGATAAATTTATTGTCTCATAGTAGTTCTAGGATGATATCGATGCTTGTTCTAAAATGTTGTAGCAGTTTGTAAATATACATCAAAACTCATAAAAATTAACAATTAAAATCACTCTTTAAAATTAATAACTTGTACTGATTATAAAAAATTCTGAACAGACGTCCACTGCAACTATGAAATGTAATATTTGAATGAAATAATAGACACTTGTGTAATATAATAAGCGTAAATGATTATTAATTATAAGTTTCTTGTTAATCACTTTTATCGATAGTTGCAAACTTTTCCTTATCGCTTCTGAGATCCTTCAACAACGCCTTATTCAACAATTCCAGTTCAATCCTCATCAATTCATCTACTATCTTTCGCATTTCAAACTGCAACTCGTAACATAGCTTTTCAGTAATCAAATCCAAATATTCTTCCTGTTCGGGATTGTTGCTCTCATCGCGAAAACTCCAATTATTAATAAAATCAGCATTTGCTTTCTCCAAGTAGGATAGAGCTTGTGTTTGCGACATTCGCCAACCGTGCGATTCGTGCTTAATGGATTCGGGCACCAACGTCGTTTTCTCGATTATTTTACCCTTCGGCTTGGCTTCTTTTTTTCTCTCCAGTTTTTCCATCAGATATTCCTGTGGCGTCATCGTCTGTCCAGTCGTGATTAAAACGCTACCACCCAAATCCGCTGCCGGAAACACGTCGTAGTGCCCCACTGTGTCATACCAGATAACGAACCACTCGTGAATCTCGTCGGTGATATCTTCCATTAATCCAGGGCCCCGGATTCTCAGCAGCTTTCAAAAGTTAACTGTTTTTTAACATTTTCTCAAAAGTAACAGGATTAACTAGATATAGTCTAAAAAGTAAGAATACAAAACGCGATCAGAATTTCTTAAAATATTTATTACAAAATCGAATAAAAACATTTTTATTATATTTATTTATTTTTCTACATAATCATCTTTGTGGTATTTATTTAACTCATTGTCGGATATGAGTTTTTTGTATTTTAAGTATGCATGTAATCACGTAGTGAGTTCAATGCATAGTTGTACAGAAAGAGTTTCCACTGTGAATTTTAGACTATTTAATAGTCCTATTCTCTAACTTTTTAACGATGATATCTCCGTTATTATATGTCATTATATTAATGTTATTACAGTCAAACTTCGATAACTCGAATCGCTAAAGACATGAAAAATGCTTCGAGTTATAGTAGTTTCGTCCTACAGAAGTTTTCGAATTATAGAAGTTTGGAATTTAAAGATTTGACTTATAGAGGCTTCAAACAAAACTCTAGCATTTTTTGTGGTATAGAGATATTACAAAAAAAAATTCAATTTACAGAGGCTAGCCTTTTATTATACATATGTATTTGTGCATACATAATTTATAACGAAAGAATTTAGATAGAAAAATAAATGAGCTCTAAGGGTATTGATACATGCTTGACAAGTTTCTACATGTAGAAAACAAAACAAAACTGTTGATTGGCTATCATTTTGTTAGAGTAAATTTGAGTAATAGATTCCAGTCATGTATTCCAGAATTCGAGTTATAGAGGCAAATTAAATAAGACATCGATTCAAGTTACAAAGGCTTAAGTCACATGACTTCGATTTATAGAAGTATTTTTGAGTAACAGTGGCCATATTCTTTTAAATTTTAGTTATAGAGGCAAAATAAAACATTTAATAAGCTTCACGATTTGTTCGAGTTATAAGATGTTTTTATTTTGATTTATAGAGTTTTTAACAATAAGACGATGGAATTTTTAACAATAAGACGATGGATAAATTGTTTATTTTTCGAAGAAAAGTTTTCAACATAGCATTGTTACAAATTAATGTTATGTAATATGCGATATACGAGGGTCGTCTGAAAAGTTCTGAGCCTCAATACAAAGATGGCATTACTCGTCAAAACCATTTCAGTATTACAATCTGTTAAGGTATGTTCTTTTCGGGTCTTTTTCTAATCCGCTTTTTCTTCCGTCTCTGTCTCGCGTCGCTCGCGCCACGCTACGGGCTCGATCATAAACCTGCAGTCGACTGTGTTGTGTGCTTGCGCAAGCTACGTCGTATTGTCGGTGTGACTTCCTAATATATTGATTTTTTTCTTGTATTCATCGATTTATTACTCGTTCTATCACTCTTCCCTTCCACGGTATGGTGATAGCACCGCATTCATCGCACGAGACAACACAATCGTATATGCTTTAAAAGATAACTGTAAAAATTGTAAATATTTTGTACCCTCAGTTATTGTTTGACGGTCATTTGTGCCAGTCGATGTCAGTATTTTCGTAAAAATGAAAAAAAAAACGAATATCGTGCCGTTATTAAATTCTTGCATTTGAAAGGCAATACGCCTACGGAAATTAAAGCCAAGTTAGACGCTGTGTTTAATTTCCGTGGGCGTATTGCCTTTCAAATGCAAGAATTTAATTACGGCATGATATTTGTTTTTTTCCATTTTTACGAAAATACTGACATCGACTGGCACAAATGACCGTCAAACAATAACTGAGCGTACAAAATGTTTATAATTTTCACAGTTATCTTTCAAAGCATATACGATTGTAATACCGAAATGGTTTTGATGAGTAATGCCATCTTCGTATTGAGGCTCAAAACTTTTCAGACGACCCTCGTATGTATATACAGGGTGATTCAAAATAACCGTATGTCCTTAAAGGGACATATTCCTGAGCGTATTCTGAGACAACTTTTCCTTTGGCAAAAGTTTGTGCGGAGCTTAATTTTTAAATTATAAAAGAAAATAGTTAGCGTATCGTGAGTTGAGTACAAGAAACAAGCAGGGGCGCCGCAACTCACCGCTACACACGGGTGTTTACGTGAGGCGCCTGCTACAATCAGCTGACACTCACGATACACAATTACTCGAAAAACACATGTTCTTTTTTCGAGTAATTTTCACGCATCAAGTGATTAGTAGTGATCATTAAATAAATTCCTCGTTTTATCGATGAAGTGAGTGAACAGAGTATGTGAATGTGTTGTGTTTTGAAACGTAAAACGTGAACCATAAGAAAGTGGAAAAACTTTTACTCGATATGGATCTGTCTCATTGCGGGAGAAAGAGAGAGAAAGAAAGAGAGATGCGTATACGTATTTGTGTATCGTGAGTGTCAGCTGATTGTAGCAGGCGCCTCACGTAAACACTCGCGTGTAACGGTGAGTTGCGACGCCCCTGCTTGTTTCTTGTACTCGACTCACGATACGCTAGCTATTTTCTTTTATAACTTGAAAATTAAGCTCTGCACAAACTTTTGCCAAAGGAAAAGTTGTCTCAGAATACGCTCAGGAATATGCTCCTTTAAGGACATACGGTTATTTTGAATCACCCTGTATAGATTCACATATGTATATATGTGCACTAAAAATAGTCCCATATTTTTCCCAACAATACTTCAGATTCTAGAAATTTTATTGAAAAAATTTACCCTTGAACGTTCATCGCTGATCGCTTTCTCAGTGTGCGCGTCGAATACAGGCATCAGAGCACGTCGACATTTAAAATTTTCTTCGTCTTTCGCGAACGTTTCGTGGCACTGCCAGCTCGGTATTGTCATACCCAAAGTTTCTTCGAGACGTGCAATCCGTCCTTTTATGACTTTTCTCGTGGCGTAACGTCGCCATGCGCGCTGTATTGTTATCACCGAATTAATGAATATAGTTCGATCTATTCTTTTCGGTGTTATTTCCCCCATAGTTACTTTCTGATTGTAATCGTACATACGTTTCACTGTAGGACAGTTCAGCATTAAACATTATAAGCAAACATAAGAAGGGTTGATAGTTACTGTTGTAATTCCAATAGAAAAACTAGATAAATTTATTTCTTCCGTAATTATGCATTACAGGAGATGCAGCTCCAATTTAATCTTGACATATATTACGAGATCACAATTTTGAGTGATTACCAGATTTTAACGCTTGTTGTTTATTGAAAAGTTATTAACAAAATAAGTTTAATGAATAAAACATAATTTTCTGATTCTATATACATTTAATAAAACGTGCTCTTAGCAGATTCGTTTATTCAAACGTTGTAAATTGAATGTATGGGCTTTGCCCTTCTCCCGCCCACGCATTCAATTTATCACATTTTGATAATTATAAATACATTGTGAAAATGTTCTAAACAACAAAGTCTTACAATTTATTCATCAATAGTACAGAATTAGTTAATAGACACAAAGAAGCCATTGTTGAAAAACAACATTTTGATGCTTTGCAACAAAAACTATGTTCCTAACAGTACTTCTACAGGGTGTCCCATAAGTCAAGGTCAATCGCTTGGGAGGTGATTTGGGACTCAAAAACAAGAAAAAAAGTTGATATGAACATATGTCCGGAAATATGTTGTTTTCAAGTTATCATCATTTTTATATTAAAATTTGAAATTGCTGTATTTCGAATTTTTTGTTAAAATTAAAAGAAGGGATGGTTAGTATATGAGTTTTATAACATAACTAAAGTCAAATAAAAGTTGCGGGCTGCTTTAGCACTACCCAAGATGCATCACGTGGAGGTACAGCTTTTAGCATCCCTTGGCAGAGATCAGGACCCCAGTTCGTCACTGTGACGAAAACCTCTTATAATTTTCATATTATCTCATACACACACACACACACACACACATACACACACGCAGGCACGCACGCACGCACGCACGCGCACATGCGCGCGCGTGCGGCAGAGAGAGTTTGGAGTCACTAAATACCACAGGAGTGACGAACTGTGGGGTCCTGATCTCTGCCAAAGGATGCTAAAAGCTGTACCTCCACATGGTGCATCCTGGGTAGTGCTAAAGCAGCCTGCAACTTTTATGTGACTTTAATTATGTTATAAAACTCATATACTAACTATTCCTTCTTTTAATTTTGACAAAAAATTTAAAATGCAGCAATTTCAAATTTCAACATAAAAATGGCGATAATTCGAAAACAATGCATTTTTGGATGTATGTTCATATCAACTTTTTTTCTTGTTTTTGGGTTCCCAATCACCTCCCGAGCGATTGATCTCGACTTACGAGATATCCTGTAACACAAGTAAGAAGAAACATTTCCTGATTGCAGGCGCCGCGGAAACCCGGGGGGGGGGGGGCGAAGGGGGCAACCGCCCAGAGATAATTCAAGGGGGGCGGTACGCCCCCCTGTAAATTTTCTGTTTCTTCAGGTATTTCATGATCAAAAATGTTGAGTATCAAATATTTACATCAAAGATGGAAAATGGGTTATTTTTTTTACTCTTTTCTTTTCCCTTTTTTTTTGACTACTTACTCGTTCAATTAAAGTACACGAGAAAAATAATAAAATAATAAAATACACGAGTAACGAAGAAAATTAAGCGCATTAAATTAATTAGAACAAAATATTTTTTCGTACATTTATACTATCCACTAAGTGGCCTATTATTTGGTGTTTGAATGGAGTTACACACACATATATATATATATATACATATTATGAAAGTATTATGTATCGCCTTTATAAATTTTGCCCCCTCAGATGAAAAATACTTCCGCGGCGTCTGCCTGATTGAACACGGAAAATTACGTTTTATTCATTAAACTTATTTTGTTAATAACTTTTTAATAAACAACAAGCGCCGGTTAAAACTTTTAATGGTTACTTAGAGTTGTGATCTCGACAACATATATCAAGGTTAAAAGTCATTGCTGCATCCCTTATGATGCATAATTAGCGTAAATATTTTTAAATGAGTAAAATTATTTATTTTTTCTGCTAAATACTATCTGTTCCATAACAGCGTCCCATCCTGGCTCTTTCATGACTTTGTATTAACAATATTGCGCTACGCATAGCTCTTTTGGTAGCAAGTTTTGCTTCCCGGGCAGCATATTGTTCGGGCGACTCACGGATCAATTCCACTTTCGATTCCTCGGTGCGCATTCTTCTTCGTTTGGGACGAGTCTGTAGTGTTTCCTTTTCAGCCACATCGACTATGCTCTTGATATCTATTTGTGACAGGCTGCGTTCTTCTATCGACGGTACTACACAATTAAATTTAAATTGCATTATTTATTTTGAAATTTTAATATTATTAAGTCTATATTTCAAATATAATTATCTCTTTAATTGTTGTGTAAAAATACAAACGTTTCATTACTAACAATAATTTTTATAAAAAAATAATTAATTTTATGCATATATTTATTATGTATATTTTAATATAATTTTATTAGCAATAAGAAACATTTCATGAACCTTTGTGAGCACTCTCCATTAATTCTTCAATAAACTTTCTGCGTTCATGCATGCGTTCCCGACTGGACGCTGACGCAAATAGCTCGATGCAGTCCGGCGTGAATTTCATTTGATTCAAGAGATCGTCGGGCCATCTGCACAAACAGTATTTTTGTGCAAATTGCAAATAATTGAATAAACAGCGAGAGAGCGTACTGATAGTCCGTGTAATCTAATCGAACGATTTCTTTCTTATACGCCAACATTTGCCCAATGGCACAATCTAACATCTGCTTGATCAACGCCCGTTTCTGCGTTTGCACCATTTGATCAAGACACATGATAAGTCTTCTTACAATATTACAATACCTGGATATTAATTCAGGTGATCAATGCTTTGAGTAGAAAATTATTAATATACTGAGAAAAGAAGTTAATATGATTAAATATATTCAATTAATTATCATTTATTTAGTTCAAATATTTATGTATTTTAATATATATATATATATATATATATATATATATATATATATATATATATATATATATATATATATATATATATATATATATAATATATATATATATATATATATATATATATATATATATCAATAATATTTACAAATTCGTGTAATTTAAAACAATAATAACATTTTGTTGACATATTTAATTTAGTGATAATGCTAAAGAAAAAAAATAATACTTAATAAGTTGAATTGATTCAATATTATTGTGCAAATATTTTATACCTAAGATACATAAGCAACATTGAATTTAAAACCGTTTCTTTTCTTTTAGGTCTATCTTCTTGCAATTTTCTTTCGAGCTTCAGCAACTTTTCTAGATCGCTTCTCGTGACAAGCCATAATTCAGTATAATAAACATGAGACATTGTTTTTATGTGTATATTTGTGATAAATATGTATTATTATAGAATTTTGTAATATGTGTACTCGCAATTTGAAATTTGTCAGTTCTAAACTGTGGTTATCTCTGGTATATAATAGTGATTGGTGTTTAAGAATGAACTTGTGCGCGTTAGTGAAAACAAAATCGGAATCTTATATTTTGCAAAATTATTTGTCACATGTCATATAAATAATAAATAATTATTAATTAAATTATAATAGAGAAGTATTGATTAAATTAATTATAATAAAAAAAAATAAAAATAAAATAAATCAATAAATAATTAAATGATAAAGAATAATAAAAATATTATTTGTTTTATTATCTAATAAAAAATAAAATAATAATATATTTATTAAATATAATATAATAAGCTTTCCGATCTGTTGCGTTGTCAGTGCGAAATAATTTATTTTTTATTTTCGAAAACTATTCCTCTTCGAGACATTAAATGTACACACATCGATCTCAATAACCGTGACGGCTCGGGGAGGAAAGCCGTTATTATATTTGATAAATTATCATTACAAGCCTTTCTCATGTCGATTTTAAATCACTCTGGCTAGTCAAGTGTCTATCTCCTATTTCTTAATAGAAATTATTTATTTCCCAACTTGGCGAAAGAGAATATTAGAAACGTGGTCTGATTGTGAGTAGTGGTAAGAACAGTCGCCCGGCAAGTGAAAGATTCGGGTTCAAATCCGGGCTTGCTCAGCCACTCGCGCTTTGATATATTTTTTCTCTCGTTCTTTCTTCTTATATTTCCCTAATTTTTTTCTCTCGTTCTTCCTTCTTATATATTTCCTAATTTTAATTTGTACATTCTGATTCTTTATGGTGAGATTAATGTATTTAATTTTCATACATTCTAAGTATCTCAATTTGAAATTGGTATATATTTAATGTCTTGAAATAGACGAATAGTTTTCAAAAATAAAAAATAAATTATTTTGCATCAACAATTGCGATGGCTTGGAAAGCCATTATTATATTATATTATTTGATAGATTATCGTTATAAGCCTTTCTCTCATGTCGATTTTATATTTATTAAACTTTTTTTTTAGGATGCCGAAACCACTTCGAAACTTACTCGTCTTGACATTGATAATAACAGCATCGTGTCTCGACGTGACGATAGACAATGCCACGACATCAACAGAAATGTCTTTATTAATAACATCAACGAATACATCCAGGTTGATGACGATCACTACCAAAGAAAATTCAGCAACATCGTCGACAATCCTTACAGTGCAAGATGACAGCATCCCGAAAAATCTATCCCACACATTGTCGTCGTCGCCGTCATCTTCTCCTGACGGGATTTGGGAGTGCCCAAATATTACAAAAGCAGGCGTGACGTGTTCCTGCGACTTTCCACATACGCTCAGGTGCATCGGCGATAGAACGACACTACAGGTAATTACAGTACACACTATTGTTGTCAATCATTTTGTCTTTGTTCGATATTGAATGATATTTGTATTGACTTATGTTAGTAATTGGAAAGTAATCAATATAATATAATAGAAAACAAAAATATTTGTATCGTAAAAATAATAATGTAACTATACATATGGTAGAGACAACTATAGTTGCCAAATAAACATACACAATTTTATTTGAATTATTTCTATTATTATTAAAATTATATTAATATTATAATATTATTATATAACAATAAAATTTAATTGTGTATATGGTATACAGTGTCTCAGTGTAAACGTACTTATTGAATATCTTGAAAAGGACGCATCATTTTCGAGAAAAAGAATTATATTATGTATATTGTCATCGTAGATTACGATAAAATTATTTTCCATCTTCAAAAATTGCCCCTTGGGAATTTTTTTGGGAGAGTGCTACCCCTATCTCGGTATTTCCAAACGGGAAGGGTGTGTTTTGACTTTGAATTCAAATTCTACGTAAAAAAATAAGAATTTTTTACTTTTGTCATTTTTTTCAAATTCCTGGAATTTTTTAGTTATAGAAGGTTTTCCCCAAAGAACCCTGTACTCTTAACATGGGAATCGGACTTTCTGTCAAATTGAATCAAACTTTCAGTAATGATAAGTTTTGGAAGAATCTTTCAATCGAGATAGAGCGCTAGCAGGTTTTGGCAAATGGTTTTCGAAATATAGCCTTTTGAAATCGGAAAAACTGTTCCTTTATTATTCCCACCGAATATGGTATCGTTGGAAAGCTCTTGTCTAGAGTTTTCAAGAAATACTACACACGGATACACATTCAAACTATGGGCTGATAATAGAAAAGATCTGTTGTGACCAACCATTAGAAAGCTCTTGACATACACTTCAAATCTTTTTTCAGAATTTAATTATCTCAGTTAGTGCCGAAGCTACATCGCATTTTGTGAAGTTTAAAATTTGGGGAAACTCCTCTATAACTAAAAAATTCGAGGAAATTTGAAAAAAATGACAAGAGTAAAAAAATCTTGGTTTTTTGCGTAGAATTTGAATCCTAAGTCAAAACATATCCTTCCATTTAAAAATACCGAAATAGGGATAGCATCCCTCCCCCCTCCCCCCCAAAATTCCCAAAGGACTATTTTTGAAAATTAAATATAGTTTTATCTACGGTATCGATATACATATAATAGTGTAATTTTTTTCTCGGAGCAAAATGATGCGTTTTTTCCGAGATATTCAATGAGTACATTTACGCGGGACACCTTGTATAATACAACATAAAATAAGCGTAACAAAATAAATTAATCAGTAAAACAATATTAATCTTAAGATTCAAAAATTAATTAAATTCTTTGATTAATTTGAAAATTATCTTTAATTTTTTTCGAAAGATCTTCAAAATTTTAAAACAAATAACAGACGAAGAAGAGATTGTTCCTATTGAGATGAAGAAATTGTTATCATCAATTGTTCTTGTTAGACTATCAGCGAGCATTTGAAACGTAGTCGACCGGACAACATGATATCGCTACTGGATGTGACTGTGACGGGGATCTCCGTACTTCCGGCGCGTTTTCTGGAGAATATTGCGCTTCATGGATTGGTCATTTCCACCGGCGAGCTGAAATACGTCCACGAAAACGCGTTCATCGCTCTGGCGCAACCGTTACAAGCGCTCGGATTACCCAATAATCTACTGGACGCAGTTCCAACAACCGCGCTATTGCATCTTATTGGTTTGGACCGATTAGACCTATCTCACAACAAATTAAAAACATTAGAAGCAGACTCGTTCAAGGTACTGATACCATTTTAAAAATTTTCACATTAGAAAACACATTATGCATTAATTATAAACTAATGATTGTAAATTGCAGTTCTTAGTGCACAATCAAATTTCATTACATGTTACATTTATATAAAAATGCAAAATGTTTTATTTTAAACTTTAGAAAAAAGAAAATAAGAATAAAAATTATAATTACCAAAAAATTAAGAAATAATAATGAACTTGTTATAAAATAGGGATGTGTCTTCCTGAAAAATTTTGAGAAAATCAATGAGAAAGCAAAAAAAACACTTGCTTTCAGGGATTGTCGAATTTGACCTATCTCGACCTATGCGACAATCTGTTATCACAATTGTCGCCACAGGCATTCTTGGCCCTACCAGCATTGCGTTCACTGAAAATGCGTGGAAATCGCCTGAGTGTCTCCGCTCTGTCTGCGTTAAGGGGTTTAAAACGTTTAGAAGAGCTGGATTTGTCTAGCAATCTGCTACTGGGCCCAATGGGTCCCAATCTACTACCACAAATGCCCAGACTGCATTTCCTTACCATGTCGGAGAACGGTCTCATCAATGTTCAGCAAGGTGCTCTCATGGGCCTTAGGAATCTCACTTACCTCAGTTTGAGTCACAATCAGGTAATTATTTACTTAAAAGTTAAGTTAAAATTTTTTAACTTATTTTTATAATACAGGGTGTCCCAAAAATTTTGACACAGCGGCCGTATGCCGGTAGAGCAGACCAAACTGAACCGAAAAGTCCTCTACCATTTTACAATTTTCACAAGAGTTAAAGAGATATTAATTATTAAAGATTACCGAATGCGAACGCACGGCTGAGATACGACCGCCTACAGACTACGGTCGCTAGGTGCGCGGCGTGCGGTAAGCGGCGAGCGACAAGCGGCGAGACGCGCCGCTCGCCGCT